TTTACCCCAGACGTGGCCCGATAGTAACTCGACCTATGACCACCATATTCGACAAATAACCTTCTATCCCTCAAATACGAATTCATGAGTGACAGCATTGCATCAGACATACCCACTGTTTTAAGCTTATCCAGAAGTGCATAATGATCATCTTGATCAAACGCCTTCTGAATATCTGTGTAGATGACATCAACTTGTCCCTGATCGTCCAGTACTTCAGAAATGTACTGAGTAATTAGAGCCAAGTTGGTGACCGTAGATCTGCCTCTCATAAACCCATGCTGATTAATAGAGACTGCACCCCTGACCGAGCAGTAAACCGTTTCATAAGCAATGATCTCAAACAACTTGCTGAAATTGCACAGGATTGCTATTTGGCGATAGTTGGAAATATCAGAGATATCTCCACTTTTGTGAATAGGACATATTTTAGAGGTCTTCCAGATATTTGGATATGTCTCTGATTTTAGAATTAGGTTGAATCTGGAAGCCAGCGGTTTCGCTAGTATATGAATGCAATCTTTAACGAAAAAACTTGGAATACCATCACATCCAGACGTCATTTTGTTCTTTAATCTTTTCGAAGCCCTAATTACGTTTTCTTCACTTATATTTTTTAAAGAAATGATATCGGTAGAATTATTTGTTGGAGGAGATGACCCTAGTAGACCAGACGGAATAAAAACTATTGAAAAGAAGGTAGCAAAACTGTCCACTATATCCTGAGGCGTATCGCAGACATTGCCGTTAAGCGTCATCCTTGGGGGGATTCTACATAGATTGCTGTTTTTTGATCTGGGCAAATGACCAGAATTTGCTAGGATCATTGACAATGGCATCCTCAATCGATTGGACGTAAGCGGAGTAGGCAACGCTGATCTGGTTCTTAATGAGCTTCCTAAAATTACTGAACTGATCATAAGAAAACTTAGTACCGTCACGTTTCCAGTTCCCTCTTGCTACGTCCTTCTTCTTGATATTAAGTATAATTTCACGTGTGAACCATGGGGGATACGAAAACATTTTATTTTTACATTTAGGGACATGGACCTCAAAGATGTTATTGATGATATGAGAATGATTTCTTAAAAGATTCTTTATTGTGTGATGGTATTGTAATCAAATTCAATCTTCTAATGTTCAGATTATGTACATCAGTCCGGTAACTAATTTTTAAGTGAAGATAAGGAGGGCTTTTATATTTTATAATCTTGTAAAAAAAGAAAGAAGAGTGCAAGGTACGCCTCTGAGCCATATTCAACAATCCCAGTTCAGGTAGTTTGTGGGATACTCTTTGTCTACCCCTTATACCAAATATCAATCTCAGACAAGAATTCTGAGATTTTTGAACCCGTTTTAGTTTCACACTATCAAGAAATGGGCCATATATCATATCAGCAAAGTTGAAGTAGGACAACACTAAAGCTTCGCAGTGCGTGGCTTTAGTATTTTGTGATAGGTAATGTCTATGGGGGTAAATTATTTTTAACATTGAATATGCTTTTCTTAGGCACTGAGTAATGTGCTCTCTAAACTTAAGTTTAGAGTCAACCACTAAGCCCAAATCCTTCGCGGAATCCCTAAATGATACTATATTGTCCCCTAGTTTGAGCTTAATATTATTTTCTAATACGTTTCTGCAGGAATCACTACAAAACAATATAGCCGTCGATTTACTAGGGTTTATCTTTAACAAGTGATCTTCAGAGGTTTTGAGAAGGCTATTCAAGTCGGATATATTTCAAAATAGCCACTACTATCTCATGATTAATCATGTCAAATGCTTTCGTGTAGTCCAATAACACCAAGACAGTAGCATTTCCCGCATCCTGTTCTCTGATGACATCATCCACAAGATCTGTTAATGCTGTGGAACAACTGTACCCGGTTCTAAACCCTGACTATCTAGGGGGGATGATATTGTTGGCAAAAACGTAGTTAGCAACTTGTATAGCGATTGCCTTTTCCAAAAGTTTAGAAAGGGTCGGTAAAAGCGAGATTGAACGTAGTTGACCAAATTCTGTCGGATTGTTAACCTTAGCTAATGGAAGAACATTGGCTAGTCCAGCTTTTAGGAAAATAAGACCATTTAATACAACTATTTATAATATGGGTTATAAAAGGAGCTATAAGAGGGCAACACAAGGAAATCAGGATAACGTTCAGCCTTCGTCTTGATACTGAGGATACTATTTAAAACAAAATCTTCATCGATTAGGTTAAATGAGAAGGTTTCATTAAGCAAGGAGTTGTTGTTATAGAAATGCAACAATTCTTGTTTTGGAGTATTATTTTGTGATATTTGGGCAAAGTAGGTAATAAGTTCATTAACATTCCTTAAATGGTCAGGGATGTATTTATTTTATTTCTAAGTATATTTAGTTTATTTAGGTCAGCCCATTTTTTCCTTTTCTGAGCAATTCTAAAACTTTAAATTTAGATATGCCTTTTTTTCGGCTCTAATAGCAGAAGTGGTCAGGTTTCTTAATTGTTTATCATAGTCTCGATGACCAGTTTGGTGCGTTCGTCTAAAACGAGAAAGAGCTTGATTTCGAAGAATGTTCATAACTTAATAACTAATGACTTAATTTCAATGCTTCCATTATATATTATCTTTTCGGATACATTTAATCGTTTCCTTTTTTGTTATACATATTAGACGGGCTAACCTGTGTCGAATATACCCTAAAACGTTGCATACGAAGTGCAGAGTCTACCTACTTGACGCCATCTTTAAGCAACTTTCACTATAACATAATAACATCAATCCCACATGCATTTGCTTTGATGAAATTTTCAAAAAAATCGATCCACTTGACGTTAGGCTTGGACCTAGATATTTCGATGGCTTCATTGTGCGGCAAGTACACAGAGTCAGCCTACTTGACGGTATTTTCTGTTTATATTTCAAAATAAGCTAGAACTGTAATAAATGCTGTAAGTACCAATTTCCAATTGTGTACACACAATTTATACTAAGTGACATATAAATCCGAACACCCAGTTTAAATGGTTTTATTTTAATAAAGTTGGTGAATGTATTTATCTTACTGTAAATAACAAGTGAAAAAATTTTCAGCCTTATCAGTTGGACATTCCGGTTTTATACTGCTTTTTTTTAATTCACTAACACTCTAAAATGAATATTTCAGCCGCAGTAAAGAATCAACGTTAGCGGATTTTAGTTCTTGACATCCTTTACGATCGGTTACGATGCCTAGAGTACGGAGACCTGTACGATTTCGTCAACTTAGTGAGTTTGATAGGGGCCGCGTATAGTGGGACTTCGGGAAGCTGGACTTTCTTTTCGGGCAATTGCAGTTAGAGTGCAAAGAAGTGTAGACACTGTGGTTAGGTGTTGTCAGACATGGCTTCGAGAAGGCCGTACGCAAAGAGCAAGGGGCACTGGACGCCGCCGTAGGACAACAGACCGTGAAGATCGCCGCCTAAGATTATTGGCCTTAAGGGACCGTTTCTCCACTACCAGGTCCATTGCAAATGAATGGTTTGCAGAACACGGAAGACCTATTGGCATGCGAAGTGTTTACCGACGAAGGAGAAGTTTTGGCTTGTTTTCATACCGGCCACACTGGGTCCTCCCTTTAACTCGAGAACACCGACGTAATCGCCTTGAGTGGTGCAGACAACGGTCACTCTGGGATCAGGAATGGAACAGTATTGTCTTTAGTGACGAGTCTCGATTTTGTTTAGGCATGCACGATGGTCGTGCCAGGGTTAGAAGACGACATGGTGAAAGGAGGAATCCACAGTTTTTTGTTGAAAGACATGTTCATCACACTGTTGGAGTTATGGTTTGGGGTACTATAGCTTATGGTTCCAGGTCACCTTTAATCTTCATCAGAGGTAACATGAACGCGTAGCATTATATCCACGAAGTTCTAGAACCCCATCTTTTACCCTATCTTGACACCCTGGCAGATCCAACTTTCCAACAAGATAATGCCCGACAAACATGTTGCAAGAGTCACAATAGACTTCTTTCAACATAATGATGTCACATTGTTACCATGGCCACCAAGATCTCCCGACTTATCCCCAATTGAGCACGTGTGGGATATGATGGGTAGGAGATTGCTCAATTTGCAACGTACTCCTCAGACTCTGGAAGCACTTCGAGAGGAGTTGGTGGTTGCCTGGAATGAGATACCACAGGAGGACATTGACCACCTGATCAGAAGCATGCCTAGGCGCGTTGGAGAATGCGTAGCACATCAGGGTGCATCCACACATTATTAAAGGTCAAAGGGCTTTAAAGCACTGCAATCATTTTAAAATTTTTATCATTTACTTATTATTATGCTTCATTAAGTACATATACAAAATTTTATTAAAATAAAACCATTTAAACTGAACAAGGTCGAAAAGTTTCGCGTCCGATCGTTCGTTGGAGTCTCCATGTAAAAGCATTGGATCAATGTACGGTGAGATCCAAATTTTGCTGACGTCGTAAAGTGGATGTATGGGCACCAAGAAAATGATACGGTCAATATGGATTCCTCAAAGAGACGGTTCCGTCGCTCATAATTTGGAAACATATTTTTGGGGAGGAATAATAGAAACGGGCCTGCAAATTCCCAATTGGCTGACTTAATCCCCCTTTTCACGTTGCCCACTGGGCTTCTGTTCGGCCCGTAAGTTTGGAAATCGTCCCTTCATGTTAGAAGAAAAAACAAGCGTAAACGGTAGATAACCCAACTAACAATTATCACTCCTATTGGAGTTGCAAGAACGATTATACAGTATTCCTTAAACAGCATTGTATTCTGTAAGAACATTGGCAAAACCCTCTCAGAACAGCTATACAAGCGGAATGGGCACACCTAATAGGACACTTCAGTCATTTAAGAGGTTGTTAAAGGGCTGCAGGTAACAGTTATACAACAAAAGTGTAAGCCTCTTGCAGCCGCTATAGGACATTTGCATCAGTGCATGATTCAGTTTTTGTATACCTGTATATCTTATCACCGCTTTGATTTCAGATACTTGGCAACCTAACAGTCCTCAACATAGAGAGCCATCAAATAACAGAGTTGCCAAAAGACTCGTTCGCCCTCTCTGACATGGCAGGCACACTGATGAGGTTCCACTTGACAGGCGGAAACCTCACTGCTCCTCCTCCCGAAGCCCTTCAGCCTTTGAGGAGGTTAAGGACTCTCGACTTGCACGGTAATCAGATTGCCGAGTTGAAAAGGAACCAATTTAAGGGACTGAGGGATGTCGAAGTGCTGGATCTTAGTTACAACGAGATACCTAAAGTAGATGCAAGTCACTTAGGAGATCTCACCAAGATTTCGTGGTTCAACGTATCTAACAATCGTCTGACAGAAATAACTAGGTGAGTAACATTATGTACATGAAAAAGTGCTCATGGCAATTATTAATATGCAAACAACGAACGACGTTTTAAAAAACAGACTTTATTTAACAGAAGACGAATGAGTACTGGTCAAATTCTTTAACGTACCTTTTAAGTAGCTCCTATTTATAACCTAGGCTAGAATAAGGGAATTGAAAAGTACAAACTAGGCATCGCTACATATGAGATATAAATGAAACGAACGAACGAAACGAACGAAACGAACGAAACGAACGAAACGAACGAAACGAACGAAACGAACGAAACGAACGAAACGAACGAAACGAACGAAACGAACGAAACGAACGAAACGAACGAAACGAACGGAGCGAACGGAGCGAACGGAGCGAACGGAGCGAACGGAGCGAACGGAGCGAACGGAGCGAACGGAGCGAACGGAGCGAACGGAGCGAACGGAGCGAACGGAGCGAACAAAGCGAACGGAGCGAACGGAGCGAACGAAACGAACGAAACGAACGAAACGAACGAAACGAACGAAACGAACGAAACGAACGAAACGAACGAAACGAACGAAACGAACGAACGAACGAAACGAACGAAACGAACGAAACGAACGAAACGAACGAAACGAACGAAACGAACGAAACGAACGAAACGAACGAAACGAACGAAACGAACGAAACGAACGAAACGAACGAAACGAACGAAACGAACGAAACGAACGAAACGAACGAAACGAACGAAACGAACGAAACGAACGAAACGAACGAAACGAACGAAACGAACGAAACGAACGAAACGAACGAAACGAACGAAACGAACGAAACGAACGAAACGAACGAAACGAACGAAACGAACGAAACGAACGAACGAACGAAACGAACGAAACGAACGAAACGAACGAAACACGAACGAACGAAACGAACGAAACGAACGAAACGAGAACGAAACGAACGAACGAACGAACGAACGAACGAAACGAACGAAACGAACGAAACGAACGAAACGAACGAAACGACGAACGAACGAAACGAACGAAACGAACGAAACGAACGAAACGAACGAAACGAACGAAACGAACGAAACGAACGAAACGAACGAAACGAACGAAACGAACGAAACGAACGAAACGAACGAAACGAACGAAACGAACGAACGAACGAACGAAAAACGAACGAAACGAACGAAACGAACGAAACGAACGAAACGAACGAACGAACGAAACGAACGAAACGAACGAAACGAACGAAACGAACGAAACGAACGAAACGAACGAACGAACGAAACGAACGAACGAACGAAACGAACGAACGAACGAACGAACGAACGAACGAACGAACGAAACGAACGAACGAACGAACGAAACGAACGAAACGAACGAAACGAACGAAACGAACGAAACGAACGAAACGAACAAACGAACAAACGAACAAAACGAACAAAACGAACAAAAACGAACAAAACGAACAAACGAACAAAACGAATAAAACGAATAAAACGAATAAAACGAATAAAACGAATAAAACGAATAAACGAATAAAACGAATAAAACGAATAAAACGAATAAAACGAATAAAACGAATAAAACGAATAAAACGAATAAAACAATAAAACGAATAAAACGAATAAAACGAATAAAACGAATAAAACGAATAACGAATAAAACGAATAAATCGAATAAAACGAATAAAACGAATAAAACGAATAAAACGAATAAAACGAATAAAACGAATAAACGAATAAAACGAATAAAACGAATAAAACGAATAAAACGAATAAAACGAATAAAACGAATAAAACGAATAAAACGAATAAAATAATAAAACAAATGAAATACATGAAATAAATAAAACAAAATGTATAAAGTTATAAGTGGAAACTAAGAAATAGTTGTATGGGCCTGTTTGACTGACTTGACCTATTTTTTGTAATACAGAATCGTAGCTGACTTTTTTAAATGGGCTAACTTGTGATACACATAACCCTTTATGATGTGATGGCTGCGTTGCGTGTAGCCGTTAGCACTGAAATACGCCGTCTTGCTTTGCTTTCAAGAAGAAAACTGATTTTTAAATCTCGTGTTCCGAGCAGCTTACGCGTGGGAAGTAACCTGTTGACTGTACAAATACGTGTGTCCGAGTTTTTCGTACGACTCATTTCAACAAAGGCCATCACATAGAAGCACTCGAAGACAAAACGCTAAAAGTCGGAGCTGTTTTTGATAACATCGAGCAAAGTTTATCAAAATATATCTACAGTACACACAGATGAAATCAGTTTTTGCCGCCGAACATGAAAGAACGGCCGCTTTAACACACACATAGGAAATTGTACCAGTTGAGCTCATGCAAGGTTATCCAGTCAACACTCTTTTTCTTAGATTTTTTTTTGTTTCTCTGAGAGATGTATGCTTCGTTAAGGTTTAACTTTAAATTATAGGAGATCCATGGGTTCGGTCGTTAACGTCAAACAGAAAAATTCAGGTAAAGCTGGATAGCACTATCTCTAATCCAGATGGCCTGAACTTTGGGGACCTCAGGGTGAAGTGCTATCACCGTTTCCGCTTTGTTATTTGTGAACGATTTAAATGATCACATAATTGATAATTGTTGTACCTTCATTGGTTACACAACTATAACAGTATCACCAAAAGTCGGCAGAGGATCCAGCAAGTAAGGCTAACATCATAATTCAGATTTTTCAATAGTGAGTAGCATTAAATAGGTTACTAATTAATACAGATAAACAAAATATATCGTGTATCACAACTTAGGCACATAACATCACAGTTACAATAAACAACTGGAAAGAGTACCAAACATAACATTTTTAGGTTAATAGTGGATGAAAATCTGAGCTGGAAGTGTATGCAGCTAAAAAGATGAATTCAGTATTTTTTGCTCTAGGAAGCTTAAAATACGCAATAAAACACGTATTGAACGTCAACTGCTCTTTGTATATTCCTCAAATATTTAGTGCTATATTGAGGATCATCTGTTGAGATCTTCATCCTTCAAAAAGTATAGTCAGACTCTTATTCTCATTGCATCCTCTAGAGTCGTGTCCAAAAATACACAAAATTAAAAAAATACGAACTTAGCATCACTACTCAACCCAGAGGCGTGCTTCATGTGAAATCATATCCTTCCAAATTCACGTACCTAAAAGAGTTATATGGAACAACTATAGCCTCAGCACATACCATAATAGCCGGTCCGCTTACTATAGATACGTGACACTTTTTGCTGTAACTATTTTTGATTCATGTATAAGAATGAAGATTGAAAATTTCACCACATAATTAAATTACCTTTTTTCGGAGACCACATATACTCGAAGAAACAGATCTCTCATTAACTTTCTAACTTCTTTGTCGTCGGTAAAATTATTTTATTTCTCCTACTACTCATGACAAATTTCAGGTGACAATATGTAAGTTAATTAACAAATTTTCACGGGAAACTTGGCTGAGTGTGTTTTCCATCGGCTTTCATCAGAGTTTTTTATAAACTTTTTGACGAGATGAAGTGAGAATCATCAGAGGAACCTGTCATTCATAGTCAACAAATAGTTATTTGAATATTTTTCTGTGAACGCTATATCATTTGAACAATAAAATAATTTTTTCTTTATTGGGTATATGAAAAACTAGTTTTTTGATAACTGAAAGCTATCCTCCTTAAAGCTTTTTCAGAGAGTAGTTTAGAGAAGATTGATAATTCCCAAAGTACTGGTGCGCCATCTATTACTTTTTTTTACCTATAAGTTTATGTGTTACCATATCAGTCAAAAGTCATGTGATATGCATAAATGAACTGTCAAAGGTATGCCATTAATAGTCATGGATTCGTTTACTACACAACAACGCATTTTGGTGATCCAAACTTATTACGAAAACCGTCGAAATATAAAAATACTTTTCGTTTTTGTTAATCGATGCTGGAAAGAAAAAACGGATTTTCGGCCAAAGTCCCTTTTTCTGATGAGGCTCATTTACACCCCAACGGGTACGTAAATAAGCAAAATTGCAGATTCTGGGGGCTGAAATCCACACCAATATCATGAACAACCTCTCCATCATGAACAAGTGACTGTTTGGTGCAGATTATGGGCTGGTGGCATCGTGGGACAATTCTTCTTTGAAGATACCGAAGAAAAGGCCATTACCGTCAACGTGGAACGTTATCGCGGCATGTTAACAGACTTTTTGTGGCCACAATTGGATCGTATTGGTGCCGACGATCTTTGGTTTATCCAGATGGAGCAACGGCTCGCACATCTCGCCAAACATCGCCTTATTGCACACGAAATTTCAAGACCGCATAATTTCACGAAATTCGGATGTTGGCCCCGAGATCGTGCGATTTAATACCTTTTGACTATTTTCCTTGGTGATTTTTGAAAGGAAAAGTGTATGCGAATGGCCCCGGACAATTCAAGACCTAAAGCGCAATATTCGGACTGAAATTGCGGCCATACACCCGATTATTCTGGGAAAAGTCATTGAAAATTTAACGTTCGGATATTGGCCTGTAAACGAAGCCGCGGTGGTCACATGACTGATGTTATTTTTCATACATAAATGGCATAAACTAACCTTCATTTGTCAATAAAAAAATTCATAAAAAGCTTGTTGATTTTTGAATAGAAAAAAAAGTAATAGATGAACGCACCCTGTAACATGATATTTCCGACACCCTTTCTCTTCTTTTGTCGATTTTAACACTACATAAATATGCGCGAATTATCCTTTTCTGTATGCATCATGTGCTCTTATTGCCCAAACACAATCATTAATCATAATTACGCTGCTTACCCACCCCAATTAAAACATCGTAGCACATACATCAGTCGACGTCTGCCGGCGTTGAAAAATTGCTCGGCGAATGCTTAAGCATTCACGTAACATTATAACATTCATGCTTCTATACACTAAACACTATCATTAGCATCACCTCGATATGTATCAGAGAGTTTTTCAAGAAGGATGCTGTTGAGT